AGAAAGCCAGCCGGAGCAGCAGAAAAAACCTTTCTCCCTCCTCTATGTGACATCCTTTATAAAATTGGAACATAGGCTATCATAATCACCCTTAACCTCCTCGTCTCCAGGCTAAACATGCCAGCTCCCTTAGCCGTTACCGAAACATAAAGCACATTTCCAGGCCATTTGACCATTATTGGTTGCCCCCTTTCTGAAACACGTTCCAGTTTGTCAGTGTCCTTTTGAAATAGTGGTGCCAGAACTGGACACATACTCCAGGTGAGGTTGACCAGAGCAGAATACAAGTGGGCCACTAATTATTCCCTTGATCTAGATGCTAGTAATACCTATTGATGGAGGCCAGAATTGCAATGTGGGCTTTTTTAACAATGCCGCAGTCAACTGTTGGCTACAATGTCAAGATTTAAGTGTCAAACCAAGATCCTAGATATCCTTATCACATGAACTGCTCTCAAAGCCAGAGGGGGTTAAAAGTGGAGTTAAAAAACCCCATTTTCCACTATTTTGTAAAAAAAATTGGCCTCTCATATTTTATTGCCCAAGTGCAATACTTACATTTCTCCCTGCCTTGCTGAAGTCTTGAGAATTATAATATAGCAAGGGACGTTCTGAACCAGAGATTCCCCATATGGGGACTCCTTGCCTGTTCCCTCTTCCAGGCATTGCAGCCTGCGTTGCCCTGCTGCTTCACTCCGAGCCAGTTCTGAGGCTTCTTCCTCATGTCCCACACCGAGCTTGTACCCTCACATAGCTTTGGTTACTGAAGTATAGCAAAGAAGCCTCTGGCTTATCCAGATTTTTGGTTATGATTTTAAAATATATGTATTCATTATTGAACGTTTGAATCTAGCGGGAGGACCAGAAAAAATGAGGTGTAATATGACATGCCAATAATGAACAAAGTTATTTAAGTCATAATTGACATTTATTTCACTTTCACATTTAGGCAGATTTTCAGTAGCTGGGCAGTCAGTGGACGGTTGCAAACAATTTTTTCCTTAAGAAGAAAATGCTTGACTTTGGGGCTTTAATTCAATGTGCTTATGGGTGCTTCTTCTTCACTTTCATTTTCCCACAATAACTTCTCTATGTTATGGAGGATGCCAAAATGGAAGCACAAGTTTATGCCGCATGGACCACAATAACCGGCCCTCCTGAAAACTTTACATTTTGTTTGATTCTAACAGATGAATGTTGCCCAATATGACAGGCAACAGTGGACCTCTCTATGCATCTTTTCTTTGAAGCTAATAGTATAGTTGGTAGCACTTCCAGGCTAGGCCCATGTGATCCCCTTATAATTTCCAATTCCTAATGAACTGATATCCATGTAAACAACCCGGAAAATTAATCCGTCCGGCATTTTGCTCCTGCCTTGCAACGAAGAACAACAAAAATAGTGACTGCAGCTGACACAATTGTCCAGATTATTAACATATCTCCGGATATAACAACAACGTATTAGAAGCCACTAGGATCCTAAAAGCACAAACAGCACTGAGGTTGTTCAGGGAACCAAAACATGAAGGCAAGGCTTTAGCTTAGTTGAGGATTACCATGAAATGGTTGTAGGTTTCAAGGCCTTATTCAGTGTTCAGAAACAGCCGTGTGCTGGTTAAGAAATAGAGAATTGCAAGCCTGTAAACAATAAGTTAAGGGAAATTAGAATGTAAGTGAATTAATTAACTCAGTTTGAGGGGTGGCTGAAGAAAGGTAAACAAGGATGCAGAAAAGGGGAGAGGTATGGGGTGAAGTCCGGGAAAGGCAAGGTGTAGGAAGATAAAAGATTATGAAAGTATCAGTTTATATGTTTGTATGTTTTTGTTTTGTTTTTGTTTTTGTTTTGTTTGATTGTTTGTTTTTTATTATATGCTTGAAAAACTAATAAAAAATTATTAAAAAAAAAAAAAAAGAAAAACAGCCATGTGCAAACTTGCTTCCACGAGGTGAGAGGGTGTCCTCTGTTTTGACATATTCTGTAAATGGTTTCCTATTAGTTGTCAGTACGGCTCTTCATAATGCAATGGGCACTTGTCAATGGGATGATCTTTTTCTTTACCCATGCTAAATACAAATCTGATTTCTGGGTAGTATTTAATAGAGATACGAGCACCTCAGCCTCTCCCAGTTAGGTCTGTGGCCCATTCATGACCAAAAGAAGTGACCCACGGATGTTGAATGGGAATGAAAGCCAAAACTCGGAAGCCTCTTTTGATGGTTACTTCTGCTCAGATACAGGGCTGGAGACATTTTATTTAGCACAGAAAGCTCGGGGGAACTTTGCCAGAGTCATGTCTCGGACTCACCCATTAGGAGATGTCTGTGCCGTAGCCAATTTTTTCTCTCTTTCCTTAAACTGGGGCTTCCAGGAAGCAAAATTGAATGTGATTTTCTAAGTTGCCATTATTCAGAGTTTAATACTTGGTGTCTTATTAGAAGTTTTGATTGCCACACCTAAAACTCACCCTTTTCTCTAGAATGCCAATTTTCTGTTTCACTCCCTTTTTAACAGAGAATACTAGCTGATGGCGTTGTTAAATCACTAGACTCTTAGGAGTCTTAGATAACAAATGCTCACAAGTTGAAAACAAAGACCATAACCCTGTTTCCACAGTGCCCCATCAATTGCCTGTGGGAAAAAAAAGCCCCAAAACGGCCCCCATTAGACTTGCTGCTCATTGGGTGGGGGGAGATTCTTGCATAGTTTTGTATTGACCTTCTAGTGAGTTGGCTAGAAAATCAAATGGAAAAGTCCATCACTGTCCTCCCCCGCAACAATATCTTCTCTATAGGGAACTAGGTTGTTTATTAAGAAAATCTTTGCAGGCACAACAAGGGAATCGCATTGACTGGCAGGGGCAAGGGATTCCGTGATCGAGGATGAGGTTCTGGAAGCCCAGACCTAAGCACTTTAGAACATGGTGTACCAGGTGGCCATAGCTGACTTAAACCTACCTGCGGCATATATAACATAACATACCTGTTTTATTAACATTACCAGCAGAAAACAAGACTGCTTCAGCTTAACTATTGAATCAAAGAAAAACAACCACTTTGCAGAATGACTTGAAAACAAGCACACCCCACGTTTTACCTAATTTGATATAAGTAAGCATGTAGCAGCTTACACCAAGATAGCATTCTAGCTTTCATAAAAACAAGAATGTCTTGTTTAACAGCATTACAAAGTAAAGTCTCCAAACAAAACTTCAAAATTGATGACGGAATGTAGTTGACAAGGCTACGAAAATATCTGGAGAAAACAGGAAGAAAGAGAGGAAACAAATAAATGCCTAGAGTTACACACTGGGATGATTTGCCAGCACCATAGATATCTTTCAATTTCAAATTGTGTGTTCAGTAGTTTCTTCCCCCACAATGTGCTGTTCATCAATGTGTAACATCTTCTGTGTGAACTGACGAGTAAATGTAATAGGGTTGTTGGAGATTTTTTACAGGGCCACTCTGCTTCTTGGCAACCAGGGTCTAGAGAAGGGAAAATCCACTTCCAGATGCTAAGAGATCAAGTAGTCTTGTTCCAGTGACCTGACCCAAACCAAGAAACCCTGACCAAGGTTCCCATGGCTTGCACATGGGAGAGATGTCAGTGGGGCTGTCAGGAAGGGCAGGTCATCCACGGGTCAAGGAAGGACTCGGAGACTCAAAGTTTACCCAATCAGCCGTCCTTGGAGTGAAGATGTTGCAGGACTAGCATCTGCCCCTCCTGTCTAGCCCATTCCCTCTGGACCTTGCCCAAGCAGACGTTAAGTTTACAGCGAGAAGGGGAGTTAACACCCCTCTCTGGGACTGTCTGGCCCATTTGCTTCAGCAAATGTGCAAGGATCTTCGTGATCTTGGTGTGAGGGAGGGCAGTAGACCACTCTAATAATAATAATTAATTATTTATTATTTTCCTCCCATCTTGTGGGTTGCCCCAGCCACTCTGGGCAACTTCCAACAAATATAAAAACTAAACATCAAACATTAAAACTTCCAATACAGAGGTGCCTTCAGAAGTCTCTTAAAAGTTGTAGTTCGTTTTCCTTGCATCTGCTGTGGGGGGCGTTCCACAGGGTAGGTTCCCCTATCGAGAAGGCCCTCTTGCTGTGAAAACTTGAAGCAGTGTCCAGTCCCCCTGTCTTTTCTTTCAGATTCTGTGCTGCAAACTGAGACCCTTAGCACCCAAGCCCGGTCCTGGAGTGGCTGCTCACCGGGTCCCAGCGGTGGGTGCATTTGGCAGCAGGTGCGCAGGCTTTCCCCGGTCCTCCTGAAAGCCACACTGTTCCACCACCATTGCTCCGCCTGGTCCACCGGGCAAACCGGTGGGTGGAGGGATTAGGGGCAAGAGAAGCGGACTGTGTTGAGCCAGACTTCACTCCCAGTCCGCTCCAGAAAGATTAAAAAGAGCCAGGGCTGATGCTGGTACGCAGTCAGCCCCAGAGGCCAACCATCAAGGGGCATCATCAGAACGAGAAGAACCCAGAGAAAGGTTCTTTGCTGGATTCATTAGGCCTTTTTCCGAATTCCAGCTTTTTCGAGCAAAAACCACGAGTCTGCTGAGCGGTGCGGCCAGAGGCCAGTTTCTAGAAGAAGCTGAAGGGCACTGAGTTGGCTTTAGCCTTTCAAGCTCCTACTGCAGGCTGTAGCCCAAAAAGCTCCAGTCTAGCTGCCGCATTCTGGATTAGTTGGTAGTTTCCAGGTCACCTTCAAAGGAAGCCCCACATAGAGCGCATTGCAGTAGTCCAAGCAGGAGATAACTAGAACACGCACCACTCTGGCGAGACAGTCTGCGGGCAGATAGGGTCTCATCCTGCGTACCAGATGGAGCTGGTAGACAGCTGCCCTGGACACCAAATTGACCTATACCTCCATGGACAGCTGCAAATCTAAAATGACTCCCAGGCTGCACACCTGGTCCTTCAGGGGCACAGTTACCCTATTCAGGAGCAGGGACTCCTCACACTTGCTCACCTCCGGTCCCCAATTTGGATGTTTTCTTAAATTCTCGACATCAGAGATTGCAGCAGAAACTTGTCATATCAGCATTAGTATTATTATTTAAGTTTCCTTACTTAAATGTTACATGACATGGAGAAATTACAGGGGACGAGGCAGGGGGCCTTCTCGATAGGGGAACCTACCCTGTGGAACGCCCCCCCAGCAGATGCCAAGGAAATAACGATACAACTTTTAGAGGACTTCTGAAGGCACCTCTGTATTGGGAAGTTTTTAATGTTTGATGTTTTATTATGGTTTTATATTTGTTGGAAGTTGCCCAGAGTGGCTGGGGCAATCCAATCAGATGGGAAGGACAAAAATAATAAAATTATCATTATTGTTACTACAGGGTTCACTGCCTGAGATTCAAAAAGCCTGGCTCTGTTTTGGGATGGAGTTTGTTTGGTTCAGTCGTGGAATCTGTGCCATCTCCAATGTCAAGCGACTCTTTGGTCAACCAGAGAGAGACAGAAGCAAGAACAAAAGCAGGAAACTTGACTGAAGCTACTTCAACACCTCAAATCACTCTGAATCCTACATTTAAGAAGGCCTGGGCAGTTCAGACAGCCTGATCGTGGTTTTAAACCACAGAACTGGAGGAAGAATATTCACAGGGAAAACAATCAATAGCCATCCATCCAAGGTTTGCTGTGGGAGTGTTAACATCCCAGGTGCTGTGGGTGGCGCTGTTGAGCCCCATCAAAATATCAGAGGTTCGTCACATAGAGAGATGTCTTGCATTACAAAACAGATAGGATGATCCAATAGGGAGCCTTACCGAGAGAGTCCAAGATCCCACGATTCTCCTCCATGACTTCCTTATGGAGAGCTCTCTGGTCAGGATCCAGCAACGCCCACTCCTCGTCTGTGAAATGGACAGCTACATCTTCAAAGCACACTGGACCCTAACAGAACAGGAAAAAGGCTGTCCTCTTAGAGAACATTCACTTGGCTCTGTTGTTTTCTACAGCGGCCAGACCCCTCTCTGCCTTCCTCATCCCTCCTCTCTCCTGCTGCAGCTTCTGCCTCGGAGTCTGGGCTGCTCTCTGCCACAGACTCCCTCTGCTCCCTGAGCCCTCTTCCCTCTCCAGCTTCAGACCCCTCCTCCTCCTCCTCCCAGTCGGCTCCCTCTTCTCTGGCTCCTCCCACCATTCCTCTGCATCCAGCCAGTCTGCATCCAAGCAGTCCTTCCCCACAAGGCTCCTTCCCCCTACCTGATCTGGGTCCACAGCTGCTGCCTCCCCTCCACCACCATGAAAAGATGAAGGAGCAGGTCTTGGTGGCATCATTCCGTCACCTGGGAGAGACAAAGGTAAGTGGAAACCGTGAGCGCCTGCTTCTCTCAGAGGTGAAACAGTGCATCTCTAAGTACAGATGGGGCTTCGTCCAAGTCTCCCCTGCTAGCTTCCGGTTCCGCTCTGCTTTAATGGAGGCAGCGGGAGATCGTTGGCAAAGGAAAAACAAGGATGACTGAGGGTAATTCTCCTTGCACGTTTCCCCCAGGGACAGGGGGGAACTGGCTTCACTCCCAGTTCGTCTTGGTACCAGGCTCCGGCTCCGGCATGGATTGCGGGAGGCAGGGAGGCGCTGAGTGCAAAAGCCCTTCGCCTGCCAAAAACCCTCCTGCGCCGCCATTAAGAAGCAGAGGTTCTCCTGTCAATCAGAGCTCAATTTGGACTAATGTACAGGCATTGCTGGAAGAGATAATAAACTGTGGAATTGAACCAGCTGCAGTAAAAGTCTTCCCACCTGAGTACATTTGGACTCATTTGTACCAGTTTCATATAATAGTTGTGCAAAAATACATCCTTCCCCCCCCCCCGAGCTCTGGGCTCCAGGTGTCTTCCCCCAAAAGATGTAAAGAACTCACAATTAGTTTCGAAACCAAGAGAATGTGACAAAACGGGGGAGAAAACACTCCTTCCTCCTTACCCAGAGGCCTCACTCTGGCGTCCAACGGAGTCTTCTCTGCCTCAGAAGAATCAAGACCCCTTTCTGCCAAAAGATCCTTCCTCTGAAAGAGCAACAAGGATTCAAAGCAGAGAATGGGGAGAAGGGTTAGAGAAGGAATGGCAGAGGCAAGCGCTTTCGGGGAAGAGAGGTGAAAGCTGCTTCCTGCTTCTGCTAGACTGGTGTCTGGGGTTGGCTGCCAGGACCATGAAACATTGGTCCTCAAGGATCTTCACTGGCTCCCAGAACGTTTTCCCAGCACAATTCAAAGTGTTGGCCTCAAAGGCCCAGTATACCCAAAGGAGCGTCTCCATGGACTGAGGTCCAGTTCCGAGGGTCTTCTGCCGATTCCCTCACTGTGATAAGTGAAGTTACAGGGAACCAGGCAGAAGACCTTCTCCACAGTGGCCCCCACCCTGGGGAATGCCCTCCCATCAGGTGATAAGGAGATAAAAAACTGCATAACTTTTAGAAGACATCTGATGTCTTATTATGCATTTACAGTGGTACCTCGCAAGACGAATGCCTCGCAAGACAAAAAACTCGCTAGACGAAAGGGTTTTTTGTTTTTTGAGCTGCTTCGCAAGACGATTTTCCCTATGGGCTTGCTTCGCAAGACGGAAACGTTTTGCAAGTTTGTTTCCTTTTTCTTAACACCGTTAATACAGTTGCGACTTGACTTCGAGGAGCAACTCATAGAACGTGGTGTGGTAGCTTTTTTTGAGGTTTTTAAAGACTTTGGTGATTTTTGAAGCTTTTCCAAAACTTTCCCGACACCGTGCTTCGCAAGACGAAAAAAATCGCAAGATGACAAAACTCGCGGAGCGAATTAATTTCGTCTTGCGAGGCACCACTGTATATGTGCTGGAAGGCACCCAGCCACATGGGTGTCATAAATAATAATAATAATATGCTTTCCAAAAAAGGATGGGCTATTAGGAAATGATTTGGGAATACTCTCCCTCCTCTTTGGAGCCCCTTGGGAGTATCCAGAGGAAAGTCTCTCTCACCTGCTGCTCTGCCTGTTTCCTCTCCTCTGCCTGACTCAGGAGGAAACCTTCGGCCAGGGCCACCGCCTGGGAAGTGGTCTCCGCTCCGCATTCCCTCACCCAGCTCTCCATCTCCAGAGGAAGGACAGCCAGGAACTGCTCCAAGATCACCAGGTCCAGCATCTCAGCTTTCGTGTGCCTTTCTGGCTTCAGCCATCGACAGCAAAGGTGGTAGAGTCGGCTGCAAACCTCTCGGGGTCCTTTGGCCTCCTGGTAGCAGAACTGCCTGAGCTGCTGGCTCTGCACCTCTGAGGAAGGGGTATCCTCCTCACCCAGTTCCTTCTTCACAGAGTTTTCCCCGAATCCCCCACTGCTCCCAGTTTCCATGGCATGGCCTCTTCCTGCTTCAGGGCCAGCTGAGTCTTGCTCATCCATCTGGGCTCTCCGGAAATCTCCAAGAGATGGGAAGGAGCCCCTTGGTCCTCTGCCAAGTTCTAATGGAAGGTGCAGCAAATCCTATGAATCAAACACATTCTTCTATTATAAGATCAAAGCACAGCCAAGAGAAGAAGAATGTTCCCTGAGGAAGCATGGGGAGAGAAGGAGGAGGAAGAAGTCATAACTGTGAGTGATAAGTGAGTGTAATCTGGAGCCAGGGCAATAGTGGGGGTCCCTCCCAACCCCACTTCATAGTCCAGAGCTTCGCCCCAACCCAACCATATCTGCTTGGGTGGCTTGGTGAGCAGCAGGGCCCATGTCTAGCTCCAGCCACCGTCCCTTGGGGACTTCCTGCTCTGGATCCGAGGGGACGGTGGCAAGGCCCTCTGGGTGGAACTGCCCTGGAAGACGCCTCGGAAACTGGACCCAAATGCAGCAGTTGGGTTCTCAACTGGGTTCCCTCTTTTACTAATGGCATTTCTATCCCACCTTTTCTCCAACAGGCTTCAGGTGGGGTCAGGGACTGGACCCAAGAGGAATGCTGGAGACCCCCTTCCCTCCTCCTGAACCTTCCCAAGAAGAGGAGGACAGTATAGATTGACAACAGTGGTTTGCAGAAGGTCATAGTTCAGAGGCTGCAGAGGGGAGAAGCCGGGAAATATTGGGAGAGGAGCAGCAGGAGGAAGAAGCAGCACCAGGGGAGAGACAGCTGACAGACTCTGTGTCTTCAGAAAGCATTCCTGACCCTCCTTCTCCCAGGACCCAGCGTGCATTGAGAGTAGGAGAACAGGAAGCTCAGAGGCAGAAAGCACAGATCAGCCGACGCAGGGATGACGTAGAAGAGGAGAGACAGAGGGGTGGGACTTTACTCAGAACAACGCCATTACTGCAATGGAGAGGCGCTGTTCAAAGTCTCTCTCTGTAAATATTGAATAAAGGACTCGGCAGGAACTCTTCTTGTTGTCTACTTCTTGGCTGGCCACTGGGGGAGGGATGGGATTCCCTGAAGCCTGACAGGTGGCATCTACCCCTCCTCACTGAAGACCCACGAAAATCCTTTGGCATACATGTAGTTCCTGTTTTAAAATACCTGCATTGGTTGCCAGTTCATTTCTGGGCCTAAGTTCATCAACAGACCAACGCTTTATATTGTTTTGTTGGCAATGGAAGAGGAGAAAGGCCCCTGACTCTCCCTTAATCGAAGCACAACCACAAGGGCTTTGCCATGTGGAATGCTCTCTGTTCACTCTGTTGTGTTTCCCCTTTATTTTTGGTCGCGTTCAAACCAATTCATTAACCCAAAAGTCATACGCTGACCACTGACAATGAACCTGATGTCGCAAATTTATTATGCTGCTTTTGTGATATACAAATGGCATGAGAAGAGTTGCTTTATTTATCTGTATCCTTTATTATTCCTATGATCCTTCTTTATAAAACCCAATAAAAAGTTATTCAAAAAACAAGAGGAAACAACACACACACACACGCACACACACACACACACACAGGCTCCATCTGTGTGGCATCTGATATGTTAGCAGGCTTTAAATTAATCACCAGAAAGGAAAAGGTTAGCAAAGAATATGAGAGGAGAAGACCAGAAGGTTTTGATGGAGGAAACAGGGTTTCAAACTGAAAACAAAATATTTGTGTGTTACTGTGACAAATACCAATTTATGTTGTTTCAAAATCATTATGTGCTGAAATTAAAGCCTATGTCAAGATGGGGGATGCAGAAATATTTACCTCTTTTTATGCCAAGTTAAAATGGAGGTTATTGCAAGATGCCCAGGAAAGAGACGTAGGACGGGATCCTCCTTTCTGTTTGGGCGCTTCTTTAGATTCCTTGGTTTTACCTTGGATAAAAAGATATGGGGTATTGGATGCCCCCTTTCGCCCCTCTCCTTTCAAACATGAGCAACGTCTATTGCAAGAAAAAAAAAGAAGGGGAGATCAAAGGAAGAGAGCCCCCCCCCGGAACCGGAGTTGGTGAAGGAGGCCGAGAGTCCCTCGGAGACACCCCCGTCCAGCTGCCCCTGGAGCCTGGCAACTCCTGGGAAAGAGAGCCTTCCTTTGCCCCCCCCCTCCGGGAGGAGAAGCCAGGCCGAGCCTGGTCCTGGGAGGAGGAAGAGGAAACCGAAGGCGCGAGAGCCTCAGCGTCGCGGGGCAGGGAGTTCCGCAGGCTTGCCCCGAGAGGAGCCCGGCAGGCGCAGGCGAGGCTGCTCTGGCCGGAAGGGACGTCAGAGGGGGGGGAGGAGCCGCCCGCCTTCCTTTCCTGTCCTCTCTAGGAAGCCAGCTCGGCGCCCCTTAACCCTTCTCTCTCCCTGCGGAGGAGCCAGGGGCGTAGCGCAGGCGCAGAGCTGCTCCCTCGGAGGGGAAGAGGCCGCCCTTGGGCCCGCAAGGGGGGAGAGGAGGGGCGCCTGGGCGGGAAGAAGCCGGCCTGGGCGCGTGTGCGTGGGAAGGGGGAACCCGTGTCCCGGAGGAGGAGCCCCTCTCTCTGCCTGAGGCTCCGGGACTGCGAAGGGGCGTCTGGGCGGGGGAGAGGGGGGTCTTGGGGGGGCAGATGGGGGTGTCTCTCTTGGTGGGGCTGCGGGGCAGTGAGCCCTGTCCCAGCAAGGGGGGGGCCTGGCAGGGTGCCGGACTGGGCGCGTGTGCGTGGGAAGGGGGAACCCGTGTCCGGAGGAGGAGCCCCTCTCTCTGCCTGGGGCTGCGAAGGGGCGCCTGGGCGGGGGAGCGGGGAGCCTTCCAGGGGGGGGCGCAGGGGCCAGATGGGGGACCCGGGGGTGTCTCTCTTGGGGGCTGCGGGGCAGTGAGCCCTGTCCCAGCAAGAGGGGGGGCCTGGCAGGGTGCCGGACTGGGCGCGTGGGAAGGGGGAACCCGTGTCTGGGAGGAGGAGCCCCTCTCTCTGCCTGGGGCTCCGGGACTGCGAAGGAGCGTCTGGGCGGGGGAGAGGGGGTCTTGGGGGGGCAGATGGGGGTGTCTCTCTTGGTGGGGCTGCGGGGCAGTGAGCCCTGTCCCAGCAAGGGGGGGGCCTGGCAGGGTGCCGGACTGGGCGCGTGGGAAGGGGGAACCCGTGTCCCGCCGGGGTCTGTGGGGGAGAACCATGTCTCTGGCACCTGGAGCCCCTGGAGAAAAAAGGGGGATGGAAATGCCACGGACAACTAAATAAATAAGCGTCCGCTGTATATCAAGCAACAGGAAAGGACCACACAAAAAGCAAGAACGTTAGTCCACAAATTATGTTTCATTCAAACCCAGAAGAGAAAAAAGCAGCACTAAGTGCAGTGTCTCAAAGATGCAGCGTAACATCTTTACCTTAAAAGAAGTAATTAAACGTAACAATCGGCAAAGAGGCAGTGAACTGGAATTTTTCAGTGGCAGGGGGGGACAAGGAAGCCCATCACAGCAGGCCTGCGGTGCTAAAATCAGGAGAAGAGATTTCTGTACATCTCAAGAGCAACAAGAATGTATTCCTTCCCACCCTTTGCTTGAGAAGTAAAACTCTGCAAGTGTTTGGCTCCAGGGTCCCTTGAGAGAGAGTTGCAAAGAGGAAGGAAAAGGGGGTTCTGCAAGGAGAGGATGAGGGGAAGACCCCTTTTCTAGGGGTGGGGGAGAGGGATTGGGCTCCCGGGTCAAGAGAGCACCCTGGATCCTGGCACTGAAAAGACACCCCCCCTCACTCACACACTTTGTGGCATCTCCTTTTGGCAAAGGGTCAAAACATAGTTCCAACTTGAAAACCACCTCCAGGACCAGGCACCCTCAATGGGCTTTGCGCTATAACTCCCAACTGGAGGCAAGGGGGATGGAAACAGCCGTCCAAAAGGTCCGGCCAGCTCCAGAGGCGACCCAAGGCTGCTCTCCAACGGGGCGCTGCTCCAGGCATCTGAGTTGCCCAGTTCAAGGGAGCTGGCGGGACTAAGAACCGGGGTTCCTGAATCGCAGGGGTTGGACTAGATGAGCCTGGAGTGTCCTCTTCCAGGATTCCTCTTCTGGCTGCCAATGCCACGGCTGGAATGTCTCCCAAAACTGCCCCCCCTTTCACAAGGAGCTCTCTCTCCCCCCCCCCCATGTCTTAAAACTACCCTTTGACTGGCAACCATCTCCAATCTCCTTCCTGGACAATCCCAACCAAAGATGCATTAGATTCTCTGAAATCTACTCAGGAGTCCTGTCGTGATTTCATGCTCTTTATTGCCGCTTGTAAAACAGTGATTTAATTGCCCCCAAACCTCAGGCTTTTGTATACATTATTTACACAATTAGTCTCGTCTGATTGGCTAATTCTGCTTCCCTCCTGGAGCCTGATTGGTCTTTTCCTGCAGGCCAATCAGTTGTTGCATTCTAGGATCCTACTTTTCTTTTGTTCTAGGCTCCAAGCTTAGTACATAACCCCCCTCCCCTCTAAGTTCCTGCAGTGCCCAGAAGGTTAGCATTCCTAGTCGTTGAATTATGCCGGTCACCTATGTATGCGTTGTGGTCTTGGGTGTCTCTCGGTAGGGGTTCCTGGTTCTGGCTCTTGTTCCAGGGCTGCCGGTTGTGACGGGGTCGTTGGGTTGGACGCCGCTGGTCCACTCGGTTGTGGTTTTGGTTCCTGTGGCTGCTCAGCCTCGGTCACTTCTGGACTTCCTAGTTCTGCCTCCCTTACCCGCTCCTCCTTCTCTATGGGCCTCACCCTTCTGCTATCCCCTTGGGATTCCTCTGTCCAGCCCTCCTTGCAGTTCCCCCCCAGGAACCATCACAGCAGTTGATCGCAGTGGCGGCGCCAAGCTTTCCCCCCTTCGTTAGCACCTTGTATGATACGGGGCCAGTTGCCCTGGTGACAGTGGCGGGTACCCATGCCAGGCCCTCCCCGAAGTTCCTTGCGTACACTGGGTCGCGGGGCTGGAAGGTCTGGGGGTTCCTACCTTCCCCCACTGCTGCCGCCTCATGGGCCCTGTTGGGGTGAAGGCAGTCCAGTCTTGTTGTGAGGCGCCAGCCCGTGAGTAGTTCCGCTGGGCTCCGGCCATCATTGTGCTGGGGGTGCTATGCTGGGCTAGGACAAATGCAGCTAGGAGATATTCCCAGTTCCCTTGTGTCATGAGGCGGAGGGTGTCCTTGGTGGTCCACACCATGCGCTCTGCTTGGCCATTGGTGGCAGGTTGGAACAACACTGATTGTGCATGTTGCGAAGGTCTGGAACTCCTGTGATGTGAATCATAGAATCCTAGAGTTGGAAGAGACCACAAGGGCCATCGAGTCCCACCCCCTGCCAAGCAGGAAACACCATCAGAGCACTCCTGACATATGGTTGTCAAGCCTCTGCTTAAAGACCTCCAAAGTAGGAGACTCCACCACACTCCTTGGCACCAAATTCCACTGTCGAACAGCTCTTACTGTCAGGAAGTTCTTCCTAATGTTTAGGTGGAATCTTCTTTCTTGTAGTTTGGACCCATTGCTCCGTGTCCGCTTCTCTGGAGCAGCAGAAAACAACCTTTCTCCCTCCTCTATGTGACATCCTTTTATATATTGGAACATGGCTATCATATCACCTCTTAACCTCCTCTTCTCCAGGCTAAACATGCCCAGCTCCCTTAGCCGTTCCTCATAAGGCATCGTTTCCAGGCCTGTGACCATTTTGGTTGCCCTCCTCTGGACACGTTCCAGTTTGTCAGTGTCCTTCTTGAACTGTGGTGCCCAGAACTGGACACAGTACTCCAGGTGAGGTCTGACCAGAGCAGAATACAGTGGCACTATTACTTCCCTTGATCTAGATGCTATACTCCTATTGATGCAGCCCAGAATTGCATTGGCTTTTTTAGCTGCCGCGTCACACTGTTGGCTCATGTCAAGTTTGTGGTCAACCAAGACTCCTAGATCCGTTTCACATGTACTGCTCTCAAGCCAGGTGTCCCCCATCTTGTATTTGTGCCTCTCATTTTTTTTGCCCAAGTGCAATACTTTACATTTCTCCCTGTTAAAATTCATCTTGTTTGTTTTGGCCCAGTTCTCTAATCTGTCAAGGTCGTTTTGAAGCGTGATCCTGTCATCTGGAATGCTGTTCCATTGTCGGAGATGAGGGTGTCAGGGAGTCTGTGGGTTTTGAACAGCCTACATAGTACTCGGATGACTGCAGCCGTGGAAGTGGACGGTACCTGGACAACCTCCAGCCATTTGGAGTATGAGTCAACCACTACGAAGAATGTCCTTCCCTGGAAGGGGCCAGCGAAGTCCACATGCAGGTTGGACCACCGGCAACCTCTTGTCAAAGTGCACCAGGACTGAGTTCAAGACGAGCAGATCTTTGACTGCTTGGAACGCAGCCTCATGGCACTGCCCCCACACTCACGGGGCCCGTGGCACTCCTTGCTCCACAAGCCAGTCTAATTCCTTGTCAATGTGGGGTTTTGAGGGCGAACGGGACCTGGTGGGCCTTGAACATGATGGGTCGTATGGCAGGGTCTAGTTGTAGGCCAACGGGGGGGGCAGTATATCATACCAATGCCCCATCGAAAACCTCTGGAAACTATTTGCACATGGCGTCCATGGGGGAGCTGGTGCGGTTCACCCCAGTGATGGCTAGCCCAAGTGGCCCAAACCGCGCCAACCCCAATAAGCTAACGTAGCATCCCTTGACCACGATCAACTCCAACCACCACTTCCGCCCTTGATATTGTACATTGAAGGTTCCCACCCCCATCGTGGGGACCTAGCGTTTGTGGAAGTCTTCCGGAGGGTGTATGGGGCTGGCCAAACTTGGAGCCGCCACTGAGACACAATTCCTTAATGTCCATGCCAAAATTATGGACAGGGTTGAGCCTGTATCAAGCTCCAGGCGGAACGGGGCTGCCCCTATCTGTGCCTCGTTGTAAATTTTGTCCGCATTAGAATGAGACAACTGGTATACCTGACAGTCTGTGATCTCCATCGAGTTGCTTTGGTGTGTCAGACCACAGGGCCTGGGACTCTTGGGTCGGCCATCTGGTTCGAGGCGTGGGGCAGGGCAGGCACGGCACACCCGGGCGATGTGTCCCACTTTTCTGCATTGTCGGCATTCTGCATTGCGGAAATGGCAAGTCCTCTGCTCGTGGCTCTCCCCGCAACTTGCACAGTTCCCGTCTTCTGGCCAAGGCGGTCGTGGTGGGCGTGCAGCTTATGTGCGCTGCTGCACTCAGTGCACGTCCTCCCGGTCAGATTCTGAGTCGTCGGTGAGGTCCTCGTGGTGGATCCTTGGTTGGGACGACATGTTTGATTGGAATCCTTGCACTGACCTCTCGGCAGCTTCAGTTGCGAAAGCCTCCTCTAGGGCAGCCTGGAGCATCAGGTCCTTCTTGGCGTAGAGGGGCCACTGCAGCTTCTCGTCCCTCAGGCCGCCCACAAGGCAGTTGGCGAGCATGTTTTCCAGCTCTGTGACGTTGCAGAGCCGAGCAGCCTGGCAGAGGGAGGTCACATACCTGGCTATGGTTTCTCCGGAGACCTGCCGCTTTGCCTAGAAGGCATTTCGACACGCTACCACCGAGGGTTGTTGCGAGAAGTGCCCCTTCAGCCATTCTATTATCGTGTCGCTTCTTCTCCACAGATGCTGAAGAAGGTTGCCCTCTTCTTGGCTGTGTCTCATGACGTCCTTTGCCTCCAGAGGAACTGGAAGTGGGTGGCGTATCCTTCCCAGTCTCCTGAGGCCGGGCTGAATGGCATGAAGCGGTTGTCTGTCACCATTCTGGGTCCTTGGGTCCTGGAGCTGTAGCCTGGATGCGCAGTGCGATTCTGTGCTGCCTGTGGCAGCTATGTGCGGTGAGCGGCACACAGCTCAGCAGGATCCCACCTTCATCGCCAGTGAAATATATTCAGAGTCCTGTAGTGATTTCATGCTCTTTTTTGCAGCTTGTAAAACAGTGATTTAATTGCCCCCAAAACCTCAGGATTTTATCTACATTATTTACACAATCAGTCCCGTCTGGCTGATTCTGCTTCCCTCCTGGAGCCTGATTGGTCTTTTCCTGCAAGCCAATCAGTTGTTGCATTCTAGGATCCTACTTGCCTATTGTTCTAGGATCCAAGCTTAGTACATAACAATCTCCTTCCTCCGTGTCCCTCATTCTTAAATAGGCTTTATTTCAAAACAAGGTGGGGGGTAGAGAGGGCTTAGTCTTCCAAACAACCCATTATCCATTAGTTAGTAGACAAGCTTCCCAGTGCAAGGAGAGGAAAGCAGACCTCTGAGCCCAGCCTGGCCCCCCACCAAATCTTGCCCGCATGCCTTGAGGCCCCAAGATGGGCGGAGGAAGGCCTGGGGGGCAGCTGCTGGCTGGGACTTTGATTGGGGCAGGGTGGGGGCACACGGAGAGGGAGACTGGAAGACCGGCCTGGGGGTTTCACTGGGGGGATTTATTCACATTGGTTTTCTACCCAAAAGCCACCCCCCCGGCTGTGAGGAGGGTGGCGCCTCCTCCATGAATTCCTCTTCCACTCCCAGCCACTCCGCTCAAACCTTTGCTAAAATCCTGCTCTCCTCCCTCCTCTCCGTCTCAGAGGCTGGCCTTTCTGTCTCATCTCAAGAACTGCCAAAGCGCCCGCAATTGCCTCTTATCTCCCACCCAAACCGTCCACATCAATCCTAAGCGTCTCCTGTTCTGATTTCCATTTTTTTGTCTTCTTTTCCAGCTTTTCAGACTTCTCCTCCCTTCCTTTCATGGAGATATCTAGTGCTTCTGTTTTCTTTGTCAGTGTCTCTACTTAGTGGTCAAATTTGTCACCATTTCATTATTTTTATCAATTCAGGGTCATAGATTCTCCAAATTTAACACAGGCCTGGTGTAAACTGGCTTTGAACTGCCATATTCAAAATCTCCCTCTCCCTTGTTCTCAAAGCAGCCTATTTTCCAGCAGCACCTTTTCAGTTTGTCAAGGTCACAGAATAACTCTTTCCTAAGAGATCCTGTTTCCTGCAGTTTTCCAGCCCTCCCTCTTCCTTCCAGCCTGATACCCAATAACACATAAGATGTTTAACATAAAATCCAATTTCTTAAATTAAGATTCGAGTTAAACAAATAAAGCAAATAATTACTTTAAGAGAGGAACCATAAAACAGAAAAAAGAAAGAATGTGTCCAAGAGGACCTAGCAATTTAGGTGTCCAGATAAGAGTGGTTGTCTTGCAGGAATCCAATTCTCTTTAAGTGGCTCAGAGTAGAAGAAATATTTTCCTTCAAAGAGAAACAAACTTGTCGAAGCCTGTCTTGATTTTAGCGTTTTCAGCCAGCTCTAAGTCCTTTTAAGAGCTACAACTGTATTTTTTTAGAGAACTTTAAAAATGAGACTTTCATAAATCCCTCCGATCACACTCTTCGCATTGATATGATTCCTCCCCTGTATGTATTCTTTGATGAAATGAGATTTCCTTTTTGACTGAAGCTCTTTCCACATTCCTAACACTGATATGATTCCTCGACTGTGTGTAATTTTTGATGGGCTGTGAGACCTACTTTCCTGGTGAAGCTCTTTCCACATTCCAGGCACTGAAAGGGGTTTTCTCCTGTATGAATCCTTTGATGGGAGGTGAAACTTATTTTCCAGGTGAAGCTCTTTCCACATTCCAAGCACTTAAAGGGTTTCTCCCCTGTATGAATTCTTTGATGGGAAGTGAGTTTGGAGCTGTTAATGAATCTCTTTCCACATTCCAGGCACTGAAAGGGGTTTTCTCCTGAATGAATTCTTTGATGGGAAGTGAGACTTTCTTTCCTGGTGAAGCTCTTTCCACATTCCATGCACGGATAGGGGTTTTCCCCTGTATGAATTCTTTGATGGGAAGTGAAGCTTATTTTCCAGGTGAAGCTCTTTCCACATTCCACGCACTGATAGGGTTTCTCCCTTGTATGAATTCTACAATGGGAAGTGAGAGTATAGCTGTGACTGAAGCTCTTTCCACACGCCAAGCAGTGATAGGGTTTCTCTTTTGTATGAATTCTTTGATGGGAAGTGAGATCGGCACTCCGAATGAAGCTCTTTCCACATTCCACGCACTGATACGGTTTCTCCCCTGTATGATTTCTCTGATGGACAGTTAGACTTTTTTTCCAGGTGAAGCTCTTTCCACATTCCAAGCACTGATACGGTTTCTCCCCTGTATGAATTCTTTGATGAACAGTTAGATGTTCTTTCCTGGTGAAGCTCTTTCCACATTCCACACACTGATAGGGTTCGTCCCCTGTATGAATTCTTTGATGGGAAGTGAAATGGGTACTCCGAGTGAAGCTCTTTCCACATTCAACGCACTGATAGGGTTTTTCCCCTGTATGAATTCTATGATGGGAAGTGAGATCGTGGCTGTGACTGAAGCTCTTTCCACACTCCAAGCAGTGATATGGTTTCTCCCCTGTATGAATCCTTTGATGTGAAGTGAGATTGCGGCTGTTACGGAAACTCTTTCCACATTCCACACACTGATAGGGTTTCTCCCCTGTATGAATTCTTTGATGGGAAGTGAAACTGCTTTTTTGATTGAAGCTCTTTCCACATTCCACGCACTGATAGGGTTTTTCCCCTGTATGAATCCTTTGATGGGAAGTGAAACTGCTTTTTTGACTGAAGCTCTTTCCACATTCCAAGCACTGATAGGGTTTCTCCTCTGTATGGATCCTTTGATGAGAAGTGAGATGGGCACTCCGAGTTAAGCTCTTTCCACATTCCAAGCACTGATATTGGTTTCTCCCCTGTATGAATCCTTTGATGGGAAGTGAGCTTAGCCCTTTGATTGAAGCTCTTTCCACATTCCAAGCACTGATAGGGTTTCTCCCCTGTATGAATCCTTTGATGGGAAGTGAGCTTAGCCCTCTGATTGAAGCTCTTTCCACACTCTAAGCAGTGATAGGGTTTTCCCCCTGTATGAATTCTTTGATGTGCAGTGAGATGGGAGCTGTGTCTGAAGCTCTTTCCACATTCCACACAGTGATATGGTTTCTCTCCTGTATGAATTCTACGATGGCAAGTGAGATTGTGACTGTGACTGAAGCTCTTTCCACAATCCAAGCAGTGATAGGGTTTCTCTTTTGTATGAATTCTTTGATGGGCAGCCAAACTCTGTTTCCAGGTGAAGCTTTTTCCACATTCCAAGCACTGATAGGGTTTCTTCTCAATGGGATTTCTTTGATGGGAAGTGGAATGGGAGCTCTGACTGAAGCTCTCTCCACAATCTGAATCCTGATATGGCTCCTCCACTGTGTGGATTTCGTTGTGGTCTCCCTTGTTCTTCATTTCCAATTCATCACCACCTGAAACTAAGAGGCAAACAGATTAGAGTCTCGGGAAGAAGTGCAGTCCCAAATTACGGAACAATGCTAATTAATGCTTGGGACAGGGGAAGAACTGAAGGGAGTTAGATGTTATAACGTTCCTTTTGTTCTGTAAAAATGTCTAGTTTCGTATACAAATCAAGTTGAGTATTAGATGTTTTCTCTCTCAAGTTTTTAAAAGTACAGCTTAACCTGGTACTGTCATTTTGTTCAAATTTAAATATGGATCTGTACTATATTCATAAATAAAATGTGCTTTTATTGAAAAAGGTGGCCAATGCGGGAAAGTTCCCTGTTAAAATTAAGATATATTCAATATGCTAAGTTGTTCAGTATGCAGTAATAAATCTAAACAAATTTTAAGAGCTGGAGAAATATTTGGGAACATTGGCTCTGAACTGACTTGGTCATAGTCAGCTGCCTTGTGGTGGGCGATGTAAGAGTAGGAGAATAAAAATGGCAAACGTGAACTTCTTGTCATGTGACGAAGACACATGAGAGCAGAAGCAGCAAAGCAGGCTGGGAAGTGCTGGGACTGCACAATCATTTGGGCCTACTAAAGTTATTCAGGCCTAACTGCTAACTGTTGAGTCACTCTGACATGTGACTTAGCAGCCAGTTTCTCTGTGTGTTCTCTGAAAGATTTCAGTCAGAGTCACTCTGCCTCAGTTGTGAGCAGAGTCAGTATGGAATCTCAGCCAACCTGTTTGGAATCATGTTGCTTATGAAGAAGTTTATTTTAACTCAGTAAAGCTCTTATTCTTTAAAACTCTGCATTATTAATTTACGCTGCGCGTCACTTCTATGTGATGAAAAAACTTTTCGTATTTTGAACAAATGTGTGTAGCAGCTGCCAAATTTAAATTTCTTTAGTGGCTAAACATTTAATGATGATGTGCATCACCTTAAACCAATTTGAATGTTTTCTTAAATTCTCGACATCACAGAGTGCAGCAGAAACTTCTCATATCAGCATTATTATCATTCAAGTTTCGTTACACTAGCACGCAGGTTTACATAAGCTTCAGGTTACAGACTCCGCTAACCGAGAAATAGTACCTTGGGTTAAGAACTTTGCTTTAGGATGAGAACATAAGTCGTGCTCTGGCAGCGCAGCGGCAGCAGGAGGCCCCATGAGCGAAAGTGGTGCTTCAGGTTAAGAACAGTTTCAGGTCAAGAACAGACCTCCAGTACGAATGAAGTTCTTAACCCGAAGTACCACTGTACTTAAATGTTACATTATTGTGAGAAGTTACAGGGGACGAGGCAGGGGGCCTTCTCGGTAGGGGCACCCACCCTGTGGAACGCCCTCCCATCAGATGTCAAGGAAAGAACTATGCAACTTTTAGAGGACTTCTGAAGGCACCTCTGTATTGGGAAGTTTTTAATGTTTGATGTTTTATTATGTTTTTCTATTTGTTGGAAGTTGCCCAGAGTGGCTGGGGCCACCCAGTCAGATGGGCAAGGTAAAAATAATAAAATTATCATTATTGTTACTACAGGGTTCACTGCCTGAGATTCAAAAAGCCTGGCTCTGTTTTGGGATGGAGTTTGTTTGGTTCAGTCGTGGAATCTGTGCCATCTCCAATGTCAAGCGACTCTTTGGTCAACCAGAGAGAGCCAGAAGCAAGAACAAAAGCAGGAAACTTGACTGAAGCTACTTCAACACCTCAAATCACTCTGAATCCTACATTTAAGAAGGCCTGGGCAGTTCAGACAGCCTGATCGTGGTTTTAAACGGCAGAACTGGAGGAAGAATATTCACAGGGAAAACAATCAATAGCCATCCATCCAAGGTTTGCTGTGGGAGTGTTAGCATCCCAGGTGCTGTGGGTGGCGCTGTTGAGCCTCATCAAAATATCAGAGGTTCGTCACATAGAGAGATGTCTTGAATTACAAAACAGATAGCGATGATCCAATAGGGAGCCTTACCGAGAGAGTCCAAGATCCCACGATTCTCCTCCATGACTTCCTTATGGAGAGCTCTCTGGTCAGGATCCAGCAACGCCCACTCCTCGTCTGTGAAATGGACAGCCACATCTTCAAAGCACACTGGACCCTAACAGAACAGGAAAAAGGCTGTCCTCTTAGAGAACATTCACTTGGCTCTGTTGTATTCTACAGCGGCCAGACCCCTCTCTGCCTTCCTCATCCCTCCTCTCTCCTGCTGCAGCTTCTGCCTCGGAGTCTGGGCTACTCTCTGCCACAGACTCCCTCTGCTCCCTGAGCCTTCCTCCCTCTCCAGCTTCAGACCCCTCCTCCTCCTCCCAGTCGGCTCCCTCTTCTCTGGCTCCTCCCACCATTCCTCTGCATCCAACTGTGTCCAGCCAGTCTGCATCCAAGCAGTCCTTCCCCACAAGGCTCCTTCCCCCTACCTGATCTGGGTCCACAGCTGCTGCCTCCCCTCCACCACCATGAAAAGATGAAGGATCAGGTCTTGGTGGCATCATTCCGTCACCTGGGAGAGACCAAGGAAAGTGGAAACCGTGAGCGCCTGCTTCTCTGAGAGGTGAAACAGTGCATCTCTACGTACAGATGGGGCTTCGTCCAAGTCTCCCCTACTAGCTTCCGGTTCCGCTCTGCCTTAATGGAGGCAGCGGGAGATCGTTGGCAAAGGAAAAACAAGGATGACTGAGGGTAATTCTCCTTGCAAGTTTCCCCCAGGGACAGGGGGGAACGGGCTTCACTCCCAGCTCGTCTTGGTACCTGGCTCCGGCTCCGGCATGGATTGCGGGAGGCAGGGAGGCGCTGAGTGCAAAAGCCCTTTGCCTGCCGAAAACCCTTCTTCGCCGCCATTAAGAAGCAGAGGTTCTCCTGTCAATTAGAGCTCAATTTGGACTAATGTACAGGCGTTGCTGGAAGAGATGAGATCATAAAGTGCGGAATTGAACCAGCTGCAAGGTCTTTAAGGTTTGAATTTGGGAATAAACTTCATTTGCTGCAAAAGACAGTGAGTGGGGGGAGGGGAGCTTATGGCTTCTTTATATAAAGTTTTCTTCTCTGCATTTATGATTTGGCAGCCTGCCATTGGATACTAGTTCAAATTATATATGTACAGTTGAGCACGGATGAAACTGGATTACAGATATGGAATATAACATCAAATGGAACTGTGTGTGTAAAAGGAAAAAGGAAAAAGGGAGGGAAGCTCTATTTTGCAAAATGTTTGCGATGGAAAATTAGAGCTGACTCTTCCCCATCCTTTATTATATACAGACTGAACTGATTAATGCTAAAAGGACTTGGAATCTAATTTAATTGGATAAATGCGCATTTATCTAAGGCCAGAGAGAGGGATGTAAGGAATCTGAAAGTTGTGCAGGAGCTGATAAGGTTCATTACTGAGTCAATTGCATTTTGACCGATCCCTCTCCTTCCCAGGCAGAGAAGAAAAATGGCAAAAAGAGGTTATTTATTGGGACAGTGTGATTTTTGAAGCTGCTATTAAAGTTGCCAAACAACGAAGCACAGGCAGCAGTTGAAGAAGGAGCAAAAAGGGTTTTCTTGTGTGTGTGTGTTTCTTTGTGGCTGATTAGCTGTTCTCCCTGTGCAAAGGTCAGAGGGGGCAGGGTTTCTGTTGAGGAAGGTGATTAGCGGTGGGAGGAGCTTATCAGAGGTAGCAGGGTAGCGGCGCGCGCCTAGTGGCGCGCGCAGTTTGATCCATCTTTTAGATTTAGGGGCGCTAGTCTCAAACGTTTGTTGGGGGAGACCTAGGTTTTTTTGTGGGGGGAGTTATTTGTCCTGTCTTCAAGCTTTTTATGATGGAGGACCTCTGTAGCCACCCCAACGACGTTCTCAATATGGAGGGGGAGGGAACAGCTGCAGTCGCCTGCGGTTCCTGCGCAATGTTTGCCATCTTGCCAAAGGTTGCAGGCAGCTTTACCTGCAGCAATTGCATGTTGATTGCCCTCTTAAAAGACAAAGTCCAGCAACTGGAGGAACGTGTAGCTATGCTCCAAAGAATTAGAGATCTGGAACTTCTTGAAAGCAACAGAGCACACCGTCTCCACCAAGGAGGAGACACGGGACTCCCCTGAGAAGGAGGCTAGTTCATCAACACAGGAGCCAGATATATGGAGAAACGTGACTCAAAGAAGTAGGAGGCCCAGGGTTCGTTCTGATTGTTTAGAAATACACAATCGCTTTGAGGTCCTCTCCCCTAGCATGGAAGACGAAGAGCAGACTCCATCTGAGGATCTCTCCCTCATTTCAGTCGATCAGGTATATGAAGATGAGCAGCAAAGTCAGTCCTCAGGGAATGTGCAGGCCTTGGAATGGACAGCTCACGGAAGAACCCCGACCAAACCTAAGAGGAGGCGTGTAGTGGTGATAGGGGATTCCCTACTGAGGGGAACAGAAGCAGTGATCTGTGGGCCTGACAAGATGTCTCGGGAAGTGTGCTGTCTCCCCGGGGCTAAGATCCAAGATGTAACTGAACGACTGCAAGGAATCATAAAACCCACTGACAAATACCCCTTCCTCTTGGTTCATGGGGGAACCAATGACACTGCAAGCAATAGCCTCCAGAAGATCAAAAGAGATTACGAGGCTCTGGGCAGGAAATTGAAGCAATTAAATGCACAAATTGTCATCTCATCTGTCCTCCCAGTTGAACGATGTGGCCCAGGGAGAGAGGGAAAAATAGTGGAAGTGAACAGCTGGCTTCGCAAATGGTGTAAACAGGAACGGTTTGGATTCTTAGACCACGGACTGCAGTTTCTTGAAGATGGACTTCTGGCAAGCGATGGGCTGCACCTCACAACGGTTGGGAGAAATGTTTTTGCCAAAAATCTCAGAAACCTCATCAGGAGGGCATTAAACTGACTAATGTGGGGGAGGGAGACAGTGCTCCTGAAGGTAGGAGTCTATCAATTGATGAAGATGATCATCCAAATGTCATAGACCAAATGGAGCAAACAGCACGCAGACCTAGTGGTGGGAGGAAAAAATCCTTAAATAAGAGACATGGGGGAATGATTAATGGACTTCAATGTCTGTACACTAATGCGCAAAGCATGGGAAATAAACAAGATGAGCTTGAGCTCTTGGTACAGCAAACTAAATATGACATAATAGGCATCACTGAAACCTGGTGGGATAAGTCCCACGATTGGAATGTAATAATGGGGGGATACAATCTATTTCGGAGAAACAGACCAGAGAAGAAAGGAGGAGGAGTGGCATTATATGTCAGGGATGTGTATGCCTGTGAAGAGATCCAAGATTTAGAACCTCAAAGCCAAATTGAGAGCATTTGGGTCAAAATTAAGGAAGAGAAGAATAACAGAGACCTCATTGTGGGAGTTTACTATAGATCCCCAAGCCAAACGGAGGACATAGATGATGCCTTCCTGGAACAGATGGCCAAGCATGCAAAAGGAAGGGAGATAGTAGTAATGGGGGACTTCAATTACCCGGATATTTGTGGGATGTCAAACTCAGCCAAGAGCATAAGGTCAAACAGATTCCTCACTGGCCTTGCAGACAACTTCATTGTCCAGAAAGTGGGAGAAGCAACAAGAGGAACAGCCATTTTAGATCTGGTCCTAACCAATGTTGATGACCTGGTTAGTGGGGTAGAAGTGGAAGGATCATTAGGCGCGAGTGATCATGCTCTTCTGAAGTTTACTATACAGCGGAAAGGAGCAGCCAAGCATACTAGGACTCAATTTCTTGACTTTAAGAAAGCCGACTTCATAAAACTTAGGGAAGTGCTGGGTGAGATCCCATGGACAGCAATACTAAAAGGAAAGGGAGTTCATGATGGCTGGGAGTTTGTTAAGAGGGAGATAGTAAAAGCACAACGTCAGGCAATACCATTGAGACGGAAACATGGAAGGTGCCTAAAGAAGCCAGGGTGGCTATCTAAAGAACTTTTAACTGAGTTAAGATTAAAAAAGGATGTGTACAAAAAATGGAAAAGGGGGGAAACCACCAAAGAGGAATTCAAACAAATAGCCAGCACGTGTAGACACAAAGTCAGAAAAGCTAAAGCACAGAATGAACTCAGGCTTGCTAGAGAGGTTAAAAGCAACAAAAAAGGCTTTTATGGGTATGTTCGTAGCAAAAGGAAGAACAAAGAAACAGTGGGGTCACTCAGAGGAGAAGATGGTGAAATGCAAACAGGGGACACAGAAAGGGCTGAACTCCTCAATGCCTTCTTTGCCTCAGTCTTCTCCGATAAAGAAAACAATGCCCGACCTGAAGAATTTGGAGCAAATGATTCAGCAAAGGAAACACAGCCCAGAATAACTAAGGAGATAGTACAAGAATACTTGGCTAGTTTAGATGTATTCAAGTCTCCAGGGCCAGATGAACTGCATCCAAGAGTCTTAAAAGAACTGGCAGATGTGATCTCAGAACCACTGGCAGTCATCTTTGAGAATTCCTGGAGAACAGGCGAAGTCCCGGCAGACTGGAGGAGGGCAAATGTTGTCCCTATTTTCAAAAAGGGGAAAAGAGAGGACCCAAATAATTACCGCCCAGTCAGTCTGACATCAATACCAGGGAAGATTCTGGAGCAGATCATTAAGAAAACAGTCTGTGAACACCTAGAAAGGAATGCTGTGATCACCAATAGTCAGCATGGATTTCTGAAAAATAAGTCATGTGAGACTAACCTGATCTCGTTTTTTGACAGAATTACAAGCCTGGTAGATGAAGGGAACTCAGTGGATATAGCCTACCTTGATTTCAGTAAGGCATTTGACAAGGTGCCCCATGATATTCTTGTAAAGAAGCTGGTAAAATGCGGTCTGGACTATGCTACCACTCAGTGGATTTGTAACTGGCTGACTGACCGAACCCAAAGGGTGCTCATCAATGGTTCCTCTTCATCCTGGAGAAGAGTGACTAGTGGGGTGCCACAGGGTTCTGTCTTGGGCCCGGTCTTATTCAACATCTTTATCAACGACTTGGATGATGGACTCAAGGGCATCCTGATCAAATTTGCAGATGACACTAAACTGGGAGGGGTGGCTAACACCCCAGAGGACAGGATGACACTTCAAAACGACCTTGACAGATTAGAAAACTGAGCCAAAACAAACAAGATGAATTTTAACAGGGAGAAATGTAAAGTATTGCACTTGGGCAAATAAAATGAGAGGCACAAATACAAGATGGGGGACACCTGGCTTGAGAGCAGTACATGTGAAAAGGATCTAGGAGTCTTGGTTGACCACAAACTTGACATGAGCCAACAGTGTGACGCGGCAGCTAAAAAAGCCAATGCAATTCTGGGCTGCATCAATAGGAGTATAGCATCTAGATCAAGGGAAGTAATAGTGCCACTGTATTCTGCTCTGGTCAGACCTCACCTGGAGTACTGTGTCCAGTTCTGGGCACCACAATTCCAGAAGGACACTGACAAACTGGAACGTGTCCAGAGGAGGGCAACCAAAATGGTCAAAGGCCTGGAAACGATGCCTTATGAGGAACGGTTAAGGGAGCTGGGCATGTTTAGCCTGGAGAAGAGGAGGTTAAGGGGTGATATGATAGCCATGTTCCAATATATAAAAGGATGTCACATAGAGGAGGGAGAAAGGTTGTTTTCTGCTGCTCCAGAGAAGCGGACATGGAGCAATGGATCCAAACTACAAGAAAGAAGATTCCACCTAAACATTAGGAAGAACTTCCTGACAGTAAGAGCTGTTCGACAGTGGAATTTGCTGCCAAGGAGTGTGGTGGAGTCTCCTCCTTTGGAGGTCTTTAAGCAGAGGCTTGACAACCATATGTCAGGAGTGCTCTGATGGTGTTTCCTGCTTGGCAGGGGGTTGGACTCGATGGCCCTTGTGGTCTCTTCCAACTCTATGATTCTATGATTCTATGATTCTAGGACAGAGCGATGGAGAATTTCCGAAACCACAAGGGGATATTAGCTCCGCCCAAGGAATAATGGAGAACAGCAACAACCAGGAAAAGATAACATATTTTACAAGGACAGGAAAAAACATCACGAACAGGAAGATTGCCACACACGGGAAGAGTAAGGATATCGCTGGAGTGCCTCACTTGTAGTTTTATATATTATTTGTATAAAGGATTCTTATCTTGACAGGAGGGTAATTGAAAATAATAAGATTTTGGAATGCAGAAATCAAGAAAATCATCAAACCATCAGTTTTAGCATGCTGGGGGGACACCTATATTATATAATTTGATATCTTAAAGATTGGTATTACTAATTGTATTGTAATTTCACATTGTAATAATGAGGCCATTATTGAACTGTAATTGTAAATTAATCTAATTACTAATGTAAATGTCTCCCCTGCTGAGTACATTTGGACATTTGTACCCATTTCATATAATAGTTGTGCAAAAATACATCTCCACCCCTCTGAGCTCCAGGTGTCTTCCCCCAAAAGATGTAAAGAACTCAGAGATTAGTTTCAAAACCAAGAGAATGTGACAAAACGGGGGGAAAAACACTCCTTCCTCCTTACCCAGAGGCCTCACTCTGGCGTCCAACGGAGTCTTCTCTGCCTCAGAAGAATCAAGACCCATTTCTGCCAAAAGATCCTTCCTCTGAAAGAGCAACAAGGATTCAAAACAGAGAATGGGGAGAAGGGTTAGAGAAGGAATGGCAGAGGCAAGCGCTTTCGGGGGACAGAGGTGAAAGCTGCTTCCTGCTTCTGCTAGACTGGTGTCTGGGGTTGGCTGCCAGGACCATGAAACATTGGTCCTCAAGGATCTTCACTGGCTCCCAGAACGTTTCCCAGGAGAATTCAAAGCCCTAAACGGCCTGAAAGGCCCAGTCTACCCACAGGAGCGTCTCCATGAACTGAGGTCCAGTTCCGAGGGTCTTCTGCTGATTCCCTCACTGTGACAAGTGAATTTACAGGGAACCAGGCAGAAGACCTTCTCCACAGTGGCCCCCACCCTGGGGAATGCCCTCCCATCAGGTGAGGAGATAAGAAAATGCATAACTTTTAGAAGACATCTGATGTCTTCTTATGCTTTTATATGTGCTGGAAGGCACCCAGCCACATGGGTGTCATAAATAATAATAATAATAATATGCTTTCCAAAAAAGGATGGGCCATTAGGAAATGATTTGGGAATACTCTCCCTCCTCTTTGGAGCCCCTTGGGAGTATCCAGAGGAAAGTCTCTCTCACCTGCTGCTCTGCCTGCTTCCTCTCCTCTGCCTGACTCAGGAGGAAACCTTCGGCCAGGGCCACCGCCTGGGAACTGGTCTCCGCTCCGCATTCCCTCACCCAGCTCTCCATCTCCGGGGAAGGACAGCCAGGAACTGCTCCAAGATCACCAGGTCCAGCATCTGAGCTTTTGTGTGCCTTTCTGGCTTCAGCCATTGATGGCAAAGGTGGTAGAGTTGGCTGCAAACTTCTCGGGGTCCTTTGGCCTCCTGGTAGCAGAACTGCCTGAGCTGCTGGCTCTGCACCTCTGAGCAAGGGGTGTCCTCCTGACCCGGGTTCTTCCTCACAGAGTTTTCCCAGAATCCCCCACTGCTCCCCGTTTCCATGGCATGGCCTCTTCCTGCTTCAGGGCCAGCTGAGTCTTGCTCATCCATCTGGGCTCTCCGGAAGTCTCCAGGAGATCGGAAGGAGCCCCTTGGTCCTCTGCCAAGTTCTAGTGCAAGGTGCAGCAAATCCTATGAATCAAACACATTTTTCTATTATAATATCAAAGCACAGAGAAGAAGAATGTTCCCTGAGCAAGTGTAGGGAGAGAAGTAGGAGGAAGAAGTCATAACTTTGAATGACAAGTGAGTCATTTATATGACGTGTAATTTGGAGCCAGGGCAATAGTGGGGGTCCCTCCCCACCCCACTTCATAGTCCAGAGCTTCGCCCCAACCCAGCCATATCTGCTTGGGTGGCTTGGTGAGCAGCAGGGCCCATGTCTAGCTCCAGCCACCGTCCCTTGGGGACTTCCTGCTCTGGATCCGAGGGGACGGTGGCAAGGCCCTCTGGGTGGAACTGCCCTGGAAGACGCCTCGGAAACTGGCCCCAAAATGCAGCGGTTGGGTTCTCACCTGGGTTCCCTCTTTTACTAATGGCATTTCTATCCCACCTTTTCTCCAACAGGCTTCAGGTGGTGTCTGGGACTGGACCCAAGAGGAATGCTGGAGACCCCCTTCCCTCCTCCTGAACCTTCCCAAGAAGAGGAGGACAGTATAGATTGACAACAGTGGTTTGCAGAAGGTCATAGTTCAGAGGCTGCAGAGGGGAGAAGCCGGGAAATATTGGGAGAGGAGCAGCAGGAGGAAGAAGCAGCACCAGGGGAGAGACAGCTGACAGACTCTGTCTTCAGAAAGCATTCCTGACCCTCCTTCTCCCAGGACCCAGCGTGCATTGAGAGTAGGAGAACAGGAAGCTCAGAGGCAGAAAGCACAGATCAGCCGACGCAGGGATGACGTAGAAGAGGAGAGACAGAGGGGTGGGACTTTACTCAGAACAACGCCATTACTGCAATGGAGAGGCGCTGTTCAAAGTCTCTCTCTGTAAGTATTGAATAAAGGACTCGGCAGGAACTCTTCTTGTTGTCTACTTCTTGGCTGGCCACTGGGGGAGGGATGGGATTCCCTGAAGCCTGACAGGTGGCATCTACCCCTCCTCACTGAAGACCCGCGAAAATCCTTTGGCATACATTAATTCCTGTTTTAAAATACCTGCATTGGTTGCCAGTTCATTTCTGGGCCTAAGTTCATCAACAGACCAAGACTTTATATTGTTTTGTTGGCAATGGAAGAGGAGAAAGGCCCCTGACTCTCCCTTAATCGAAGCACAACCACAAGGGCTTTGCCATGTGGAATGCTCTCTGTTCACTCTGTTCCGTTTCCCCTTTATTTTTGGTTGCGTTCAAACCAATTCATTAACCGAAAAGTCATACGCTGACCACTGATAATGAACCTGATGTCGCAAATTAATTATGCTGCTTTTGTGATATACAAATGGCATGAGAAGAGTTGCTTTATTTATCTGTATTCTTTATTATTCCTATGATCCTTCTTTATAAAACCCAATAAAAAGTTATTCAAAAAACAAGAGGAAACAACACACACACACACACACACACACACACACAGGCTCCATCTGTGTGGCATCTGATATGTTCGCAGGCTTTAAATTAATCACCAGGAAAGGAAAAGGTTAGCAAAGAATATGAGAGGAGAAGACCAGAAGGTTTTGGTGGAGGAAACAGGGTTTCAAACTGAAGATAAAATATTTGTGTGTTACTGTGACAAATACCCATTTATGTTGTTTCAAAATCATTATGTGCTGAAATTAAAGCCTATGTCAAGATGGGGGATGCAGAAATATTTACCTCTTTTTATGCCAAGTTAAAATGGAGGTTATTGCAAGATGCCCAGGAAAGAGACGTAGGACGGGATCCTCCTTTCTGTTTGGGCGCTTCTTTAGATGACTTTCTCTTGGATAAAAAGAGACAAGGGCTCTGGGATGCCCCCTTTCGCCCCTCTCCTTCCAGACATGACATCAACGTCTGTTGCAAGAAAGAAAAAGAAGGGGATATAAAAGGAAGAGAGCCCCCCCCCGCCCGGGCTGCATCTGCCAAGCCAGACTCCCCAGAGGCCGAGAGTCCCTCGGAGACCCCCCCGTCCAGCCTGGGAAAGAGAGCCCCCCTTCCCGGCAAGGCCCCTCCCTCCCTCCTTCGCCCCCTCCGGGAGGAGAAGCCAGGCCGAGCCTGGTCCGAGGAAGAGGAAGCGCCAGGATTTTACCTCAGCGTCGCGGGGCAGGGAGTTCCGCAGGCTTCCCCCGAGAGGAGCCCGGCGGGCAAAGGCCAGGCCGGAAGGGACGTCAGAGGGGGGGGAGCGGCCCGCCTTCCCTTCCTGTCCTCTCTAGGAAGCCAGCTCGGCGCCCCTTCGCCCTTCTCTCTCCCGCGGAGCCGTCGCGCAGGCGCAGAGCTGCTCCCTCGGAGGGGAAGAGGCCGCCCTTGGGCGCGTGTGCGTGGGAAGGGGGAACCCGTGTCCCGGAGGAGGAGCTCGTCTCTCTGCCTGGGGCTGCGAAGGGGCGTCTAGGCGGGGGAGAGGGGGGTCTTGGGGGGCAGATGGGGGTGTCTCTCTTGGTGGGGCTGCGGGGCAGTGAGCCCTGTCCCAGCAAGAGGGGGGGCCTGGCAGGGTGCCGGACTGGGCGCGTGGGAAGGGGGAACCCGTGTCCCGGAGGAGGAGCCCCTCTCTCTGCCTGGGGCTCCTGGACTGCGAAGGAGCGTCTGGGCGGGGGAGAGGGGGGTCTGGGGGGGGGCAGATGGGGGTGTCTCTCTTGGTGGGGCTGCGGGGCAGTGAGCCCTGTCCCAGCAAGAGGGGGGGCCTGGCAGGGTGCCGGACTGGGCGCGTGGGAAGGGGGAACCCGTGTCCCGGAGGAGGAGCCCCTCTCTCTGCCTGGGGCTCCTGGACTGCGAAGGAGCGTCTGGGCGGGGGAGAGGGGGGTCTGGGGGGGCAGATGGGGGTGTCTCTCTTGGTGGGGCTGCGGGGCAGTGAGCCCTGTCCCAGCAAGGGGGGGGCCTGGCAGGGTGCCGGACTGGGCGCGTGGGAAGGGGGAACCCGTGTCCCGTCGGGGTCTGTGGGGGAGAACCATGTCTCTGGCACCTGGAGCCCCTGGAGAAAAAAGGGGGATGGAAATGCCACGGACAACTAAATAAATAAGCGTCCGCTGTATATCAAGCAACAGGAAAGGACCACACAAAAAGCAAGAACGTTAGTCCACAGATTATGTTTCATTCAAACCCAGAAGAGAAAAAAGCTGCAGAAAGTGCAGTGTCTCAAAGATGCAGTGTAACATGTTTACCTTAAAAGAAGTAATGAAACGTAACAATCGGCAAAGAGGCAGTGAACTGGAATTTTTCAGTGGCAGGGGGGGAAAAGGAAGCCCATCACAGCAGGCCTGCGGTGTTAAAAACCAGGAGAAGAGATTTCTGTACATCTCAAGAGCAACAAGAATGTATTCCTTCCCACCCTTTGCTTGAGAAGTAAAACTCTGCAAGTGTTTGGCTCCAGGGTCCCTTGAGAGAGAGTTGCAAAGAGGAAGGAAAAGGGGGTTCTGCAAGGAGAGGATGAGGGGAAGACCCCTTTTCTAGGGGTGGGGGAGAGGGATTGGGCTCCCGGGTCAAGAGAGCACCTTGTATCCTGGCACTGAAAAGACACCCTCCCGACACACACACTTTGTGGCATCTCCTTTTGGCAAAGGGTCAAAACATAGTTCCAACTTGAAAACCACCTCCAGAACCAGCCCCCCTCAATGGGCTTTGGACTACAACTCCCAACCGGAGGCAAGGGGGATGGAAACAGCCGTCCAAAAGGTCCAGCCAGCTCCAGAGGCGACCCAAGGCTGCTCTCCAACGGGGCGCTGCTCCAGGCATCTGAGTTGCCCAGTTCAAGGGAGCTGGCGGGACTAAGAACCGGGGTTCCTGAATTGCAGGGGTTGGACTAGATGAGCCTGGAGTGTCCTCTTCCTGGATTCCTCATCTGGCTCCCAATGCCACGGCTGGAATGTCTCCCAAAACTGCCCCCCCTTTCACAAGGAGGTCTTTCCCCCCCCATGTCTTAAAACTACCCTTTGACTGGCAACCATCTCCAATCTCCTTGCTGGACAATCCCAACCAAAGATGCATTAGATTCTCTGAAATCTACTCAGGAGTCCTGTAGTGACTTCATGCTCTTTATTGCAGCTTGTAAAACAGTGATTTAATTGCACCCCAAACCTCAGGCTTTTATATACATTATTTACACAATGAGTCCCGTCTGACTGGCTGATTCTGCTTCCCTCCTGGAGCCTGATTGCTCTTTTCCTGCAGGCCAATCAGTTGTTGCATTCTAGGATCCTACTTGCCTTTTCTTCTAGGATCCAAGCTTAGTACATAATCCCTCTCCCCTCTACGTTCCCGTTGCGCCCAGAAGGTTAGCATTCCTAGTCATTGATGTATGCGGGTCACCTATGTATGCCTTGTGGTCTTGGGTGTCTCTCGGTAGGGGTTCCTGGTTCTGGCTCTTGTTCCAGGGCTGCCGGCTGTGACGGGGTCGTTGGCTTCGACGCCGCTGGTCCACTCGGTTGTGGTTCTGGTTCCTGTGGCTGCTCGGCCTCGGTCACTTCTGGACTTCCTAGTTCTGCCTCCCTTACCCGCTGCTCCTGCTCTATGGGCCTCACCCTTCTGCTATCCCCTTGGGATTCCTCTGTCCAGCCCTCCTTGCAGTTCCCCCCAGGAACCATCACAGCAGCTCTGCTACTGCTGCCTTGTGGGGTAAGAAGGCATGGGAAAAGTTCAATAGTCTCAAGAAGGCTTGGCGTTCCGCCTTACCCTTAGGTGCAGGGGAGTCGCAAATACTTCGCACCTTGTCCCCGGTCAGGTGGACTCTGTCTACATCTACCATAAATCCTAGAAAAACCACCTATTGAACTCCTAGCAGACAGTTTCCCCACTTCACCTTGAGGCTGGCCGTCTGGAAACAGTGAAGGACGGTGCGGAGTGTGTCCCCAAACTCCCCCAGCGTGGACCCGGTGATCAACACATCATCAAAGAAGGGGGTGACGCCGGGAATTCCTTTGAGGAGAGAGTCCATTGGATTTTGGAATATGCCTGGGGCCACGCGGACGCCAAATTGCAGCCCCTTGACACGGAACAGGCCCCCGTGCGTTACAATCGTCTGTGCCTCCACAGTGGCCTCGTCCACTGACAACTGCTGATAGGCCTGGGCCTGGGCCAGCTTGCCAAAAATCTTAGACCCCGCCAGGGTAGCAAGGACATGGCTGACCATTGGCACCGGGGATGCGTGAGCCGTAAGGGCCTTTTTATGGTACATTTGTAGTCTGCGCAAATGTGGACTGAGCCATTGGGCTTGACAGGTGTGATGATTGGGGTTTCTCGGGGGCATTAGGCTAGAGCACTCCTTGCTCCATGAGCCGGTCTAATTCCTCGTCAATGCAGGGTTTTAAGGGTGAACGGGACCTGGTGGGCCTTGAACATGATGGCTCGTATGGCAGGGTCTAGTTTTAGGCCAATGGGGTGGGCAGTATATCATCCCAATGGCCCATCAAAAACCTCTGGAAACTCTTTGCACATGGCGTCCACGTCCACGTGGGAGCTGGTGCGGTTTACCCCGGTGATAGCTAGCCCCAGTGGCCCAAACCACGCCAACCCTAGTAAGCTAATGTAGCGCCCCTTGACCACGATCAAGTCCAACTGCCACTTCCGCCCTCGATATTGTACATTGAAGGTTCCCACCCCCATCGTGGGGACCTTGCATTTGTGGAAGTCTTCCGGAGGGTGAATGGGGCTGACCAAACTTGGAGCCGCCACTGAGACACAATTCCTTAATGTCCATGCCAAGATTATGGACAGGGTTGAGCCTGTATCAAGCTCCAGGCAGCACGGGGCTGCCTCTATCTTTGCCTCGATGAAAATTTTGTCCGCATTAGAATGAGGCAACTGGTATACCTGACAGTCTGTGATCTCCGTCGAGTTGCCTTGGTTTGTCAGACCACGGGGCCTGGGACTCTTGGGTCGGCCATTTGGTTTGAGGCGTCGGGCAGGGCAGGCACGGCACACCCTGCATTGTCGGCATTCTGCGTTGCGGAAATGGCAAGTCCTCTGCTCGTGGCTCCGAACAACATGCACAGTTCCCATCTTCCGGAAGAGGCTGTCGTGGTGGACGTGCAGCTTATGTGCGCTGCTGCACTCAGTGCACTTCCTCCCGGTCGAATTCTGAGTCGTCGGTGAGGTCCTGGTGGTGGATCCTCGGTTGGGACGACATGTTTGACTGGAATCCTTGCGCTGACCTTTCGGCAGCTTCAGTTACTAAAGCCTCCTCTAGGGTAGCCTGAAGCATCAGGTCCTTCTTGGCATAGAGGTGCCACTGCAGCTTCTCGTCCCTCAGGCCGCCCACGAGACAGTCGCCGAGCATGTTCTCCAGCTCTGTGACGTTGCAGAGCCAAGCAGCCTGGCAGAGGGAGGTCACATTCCCGGTTATGGTTTCTCCGGAGACCTGCCGCTTTGCCTAGAAGGCATTTTGACACGCTACCCCCGAGGGTTGTTGCGAGAAGTGTCCCTTCAGCCGTTCTATTATCGTGTCATAGGGAACGGTCGCAATATTTGTGGGAGCGAGGAGGGCTCGGGCGATCTTGAATGTTTCTTCTCCACAGATGCTGAAGAAGGTTGCCCTCTTCTTGGCTCTGTCTCATGACATCCTTTGCCTCCAGGAGGAACTGGAAGCGGGTGGTGTATCCTTCCCAGTCTCCTGAGGCTGGGCTGAACGGCATGAAGCGGTTGCCTGTCGCCATTCTGGGTCCTTGGGTCCTGGAGCTGTAGCCTGGATGACCGGTGCAATTCTGTGCTGCCTGTGGCAGCTATGTGCGGTGAGCGGCAGACAGCTCAGCAGGATCCCACCTTCATCGCCAGTGAAATATACACAGCGTCCTGTAGTGATTTCATGCTCTTTATTGAAGCTTGTAAAACAGTGATTTAATTGCTCCCCAAACCTCAGGCTTTTATATACATTATTTACACAACAAGTCCAGTCTGACTGGCTGATTCTGCTTCCCTCATGGAGCCTGATTGGTCTTTTCCTGCAAGTCAATCAGTTGTTGCATTCTAGGATCCTACTTGCCTATTGTTCTAGGATCCAAGCTTAGAACATAACATTCTCCTTCCTCCATGTCCCGAATTCTAAAATAGGGTTTATTTCAAAACAGGGTGGGGGGTAGAGAGGGCTTAGTCTTCCAAACAACCCATTATCCATTAGTTAGTAGACAAGCTTCCCAGTGCAAGGAGAGGAAAGTAGACCTCTGAGCCCAGCCTGGCCCCCCACCAAATTCTGCCCGCATACCTTGAGGCCCCAAGATGGGCGGAGGAAGGCCTGGAGGGGCAGCTGCTGGCTGGGACTTTGATTGGGGCAGGGTGGGGGCACAGGGAGACGGAGACAGGAAGACCAGCCAGGGGGTGACACTGGGGGATTTATTCACATTGGTTATCTGCCAAAAAACCACCACCCCCGGCTGTGAGGGTGGCGCATCCTCCATGAATTCCTCTTCCACTCCCAGCCACTCTGCTCTAACCTTTGCTAAAATCCTGCTCTCCTCCCTCCTCTCCGTCTCAGAGGCTGGGCTTTCTGTCTCATCTCAAGAACCGCCAAAGCGCCCGCAATTGCCTCTTATCTTCCACCCAAACCGTCCACATCAATCCTAAGCGTCTCCTGTTCTGATTTCCATTTTTTGGTCTCCCTTTCCAGCTTTTTAGATTTTTCCTCCCTTCCTTTCATGTAGACATCAAGTGCTTCTGTTTTCTTTGTCAGTGTCTCTGCTTTAGTGGTCAAATTTGTCACCATTTCACTATTTCTATCAATTCGGGCTAATAGCTTCTCCAAATTTTCCTTCATCTCTTTAGTCAGATTCTGTTTCCTGCATTTTTCCTGTTCTCCCTTTTCCTTCTAGCCTGATCCCCAACACACATAAGCTGTCTAACATAAAATCCAATTTCTCAAATTAAGATTCGAGTTAAACAAATTAACCAAATAATTACTTTAAGAGATGAACCATGAAAAAGAAAGAAAGTGTCCAAGAAGACATAGCAATTTAGATGTCCAGGTAAGAGTGCTTGACTGGCAGGAATCCAATTCTCTTTAAGGGGCTCAGAGTAGAAGAAATATTTTCCTTCAAAAAGAAACAAACTTGTCCTGATTTTGGCTTTTTCAGCCAGCTCTCAGTATTTGTAAAATGTCCTTTTTTTTTTAAAGAGCTTTAAAAATGAGGCCAGACTTTCAAAACTCCTTCCAATCACACACTTGGCACTGATATGATTCCTCCCCTGTATGTATTCTTTGATGAAATGAGATTTCCTTTTTGACTAAAGCTCTTTCCACATTCCTAACACTGACCTGACTTCTCTGCTGTGTGTAATTTTTGATGGGCACTGAGACCTACTTTCCTGGTGAAGCTCTTTCCACATTCCAGGCACTGAAAGGGGTTTTCTCCTGTATGAATTCTTTGGTGAGAAGTGAAACTTATTTTCCAGGTGAAGCTCTTTCCACATTCCAAGCACTTGAAGGGTTTCTCCCCTGTATGAATTCTTTGATGGGAAGTGAGTGTGGAGCTGTTAATGAATCTCTTTCCACATTCCAAGCACTGATACGGTTTCTCACCTGTATGGATTTTTTTATGGAAAGCAAAACTTTGTTTCCAGCTGAAGCTCTTTCCACACTCCAAGCACTGATAGGGTTTCTCCCCTGTATGAATTCTTTGATGGGAAGTGAGATCGTAGCTGTGACTGAAACTCTTTCCACATTCCATACACTGATAGGGGTTATCCCCTGTATGAATCCTTTGATGGGAAGTGAGCTTGGCCCTCTGACTGAAGCTCTTTCCACATTCTACACACTGATAGGGTTTCTCCCCTGTATGCATTCTTTGATGGGAAGTGAGATCGTAGCTGTGACTGAAACTCTTCCCACATTCCACGCACTGATGGGGGTTATCCCCTGTATGAATCCTTTGATGGGAAATGAGCTTGGCCCTCTGATTGAAGCTCCTTCCACATTCCATGCACTTAAAGGGTTTCTCCCCTGTATGAATTCTACGATGGGATGTCAGACTATAGCTGTGACTGAAGCTCTTTCCACACGCAAAGCAGTGATATGGTTTCTCCCCTTTATGAATTCTTTGATGGACAGTGAGACTTTCTTTCCGGGTGAAGCTCTTTCCACATTCCACGCACTGATAGGGTTTCTCCCCTGTATGAATCCTTTCATGGGAAGTGAGCTTGGCCCTCTTACTGAAGCTCTTTCCACATTCCACGCACTGAAAGGGTTTCTCACCTGTATGAATCCTTTGATGGGAAGTGAAACTGCTCTTTTGACTGAAGCTCTTTCCACATTCCACGCACTGATAGGGTTTCCCCCTTGTATGAATCCTTTGATGGGAAGTGAAACTGCTCTTTTGACTGAAGCTCTTTCCACATTCCAAGCACTGATAGGGTTTCTCCCCTGTATGAATTCTTTGATGGACAGTGAGACTTTCTTTCCTAGTGAAGCTCTTTCCACATTCCACACACTTACAGGATTTATCCCCTGTATGAATCCTTTGACGGGAAGTGAGATGGGCACTCCGATTGAAGTTCTTTCCACATTCCACGCACTGATAGGGTTTCTCCCTTGTATGAATTCTACGATGGGAAGTGAGAGTATAGCTGTGACTGAAGCTCTTTCCACACGAAAAGCAGTGATAGGGTTTTTCTTTTGTATGAATTCTTTGATGGGTAGTGAAAATTATTTTCCTGGTGAATCTCTTTCCACATTCCAAGCACTGATACGGTTTCTCCCCTTTATGATTTCTCTGATGGACAGTTAGACTTTCTTTCCTGGTGAAGCTCTTTCCACATTCCACACACTGATAGGGTTTCTCCCCTGTATGAATCCTTTGATGGGAAGTGAAACTGCTTTTTTGACTGAAGCTCTTTCCACATTCCACGCACTGATATGGTTTCTCCCCTGTATGAATTCTATGATGGGAAGTGAGATGGGCCCTCTGGCTGAAGCTCTTTCCACATTCCAAGCACTGATAGGGTTTCTCCCCTGTATGAATCCTTTGATGGGAAGTGAAATGGGCACTCCGAGTGAAGCTCTTTCCACATTCCAAGCACTGATAGGGTTTCTCCCCTGTATGAATCCTTTGATGGGAAGTGAGCTTAGCCCTCTGATTGAAGCTCTTCCCGCATTCCAAGCACTGATAGGGTTTCTCCCCTGTATGAATCCTTTGATGGGAAGTGAGCTTAGCCCTCTGATTGAAGCTCTTTCCACACTCTAAGCAGTGATAGGGTTTCTCCCCTGTATGAATCCTTTGATGTGCAGTGAGATGGGAGCCCTGACTGAAGCTCTTTCCACATTCCACACAGTGATATGGTTTCTCTCCTGTATGAATTCTACAATGGGAAGTGAGATTGTGGCTGTGACTGAAGCTCTTTCCACACTCCAAGCAATGATAGGGTTTCTCTTTTGTATGAATTCTTTGATGGGCAGCCAAACTCTGTTTCCAGGTGAAGCTTTTTCCACATTCCAAGCACTGATAGTGTTTCTTCTCAAGGGGATTTCTTTGATGGGAAGTGGACTGGGAGCTCTGACTGAAGCCCTCTCCACACTCTGAATCCTGATATGTCTCCTCCACTGTGTGGATTTCATTGTGGTCTCCCTTGTTCTTCATTTCCAATTCATCACCACCTAAAACTAAGAGGGAAACGGATTAGAGTCTCAGGAAGAAGTGCAGTCCCAAATTATGGAACAATGCTAATTAAAGCTTGGGACAGGGGAAGAACTGAAAGGGAGTTAGATGTTATAACGTTCCTTTGTTCTGTAAAAATGTCTAGTTTCGTATACAAATCAAGTTGAATATTAGATGTTTTCTCTCTCAGGTGTTTAAAAGTACAGCTTAACCTGGTACTGTCATTTTTTTCAAATTTAAATATGTATCCGTACAATCTTCATAAATAAAATGTGCTTTTATTGAAAAAGGTGGCCAA